GGGGGGGCAGAGGGGGCAATGGCTTTGCCAGGGGGCTCCGCCCGCTGGCTTTCACCGAAAAATTAACTGCGACGGGCCCTGGTCCTTACATCGAGCTACTGCTGAGATGGGTGCCGAAAAAAGTACATCAGCAAAGTAATACCGATGATTTATAACATCTTGAAGGTATTAACATTTAAAGTACACTTTACGGTTATTATTTTTGTCATTTATTTTGTAACTTATTTAAGGTCTCGTTACAATCTCTTTTCAGAAAGTTGAAAGAGTGCCCGTGGCTGCTGGGGATCACATGGCCAAAAAGTTTAAGGAGTTTGTGACGTCGGAAATGTTGCGTCGTTTTGGGTCCCATGAACAAAATACCCGTCTAGCCGTGGCAACGCTTCTGGATCCACGATTCATAAAGAGCTACTTTCAAAGTCCTGTAGCCCGGTCGAAGGCGGAAAATGCTATTGTGGCAGAAATAGAGAAGGAGGTGATGCTAGATAACTTAGACGCGGATGCTGCGCTACTAGGCGACCCGTCCGTGAATGGTACGTATTCCGTAAGGGAAGTCCAGAAATGTGTATCTCGCCCCCCCCCCCTTCCCTCTGTACGTAACACACGCCTTCTGTTACAGATTTTCTATCAGCCGAAGAAGCTCCGGGAGGGGGAGGTTCGTCAACGTCAGGGGACTTGTGGAGCAGTCACGCGGAGCTCGCCCAAAACTCAAGAGCAGAGACAGTTGGTCCGGCCGACGTTGGAGGCCGCGCCAGAGGTGAACTGCGGGCATACCTACTCCGCGAAATTGCCCCCATCAACAAGAATCCCCTGGAGATATGGGAAACCCTCAAGCCTGGGTACCCAAATCTATACCGGGTTGCTCGTCGTAAATTGGCGGTATTAGCTACTTCTGTCCCATCTGAAAGGTTTTTCTCTACGGCAGGAAACAATATGGATGACAAGGGAAGCCGCCTCACCCCGAAACACTTGGCTACACGCCTGTTTCTGGCCAACGTAGAAAAAGAAGTGTGGGAAGCACCTGCTAATAGGGTATTGGTCTAGAGCGCTGAGCGGAAGTAGAAGAACAAAAACGGAAGATGGAAAGGCGCCCGCACTCCTCCCCGCCTGCCCTCCACTTCTCCCCGGGCGCTCCCCCACTCCGCCCAGTGGAGGAGAGGGGGACGGCCCGGGCGCCTTTCCACCTTCCGTTTTTGTTCTTCTACTTCCGCTCAGCGCTCTAGACCAATACCCTATTTGTAATGTGTTCCCTTGTTTTATTTTTGCAGTTCTAGTTTGACATCTAGTTCAAGTTTTTGATATAATTTATCAACAATATTATTTTATTTTTGAACCTGAGTGGATTTCAGTGAAAATATAAAGGTTTCATTTATGAATAAAATGCTTTTATATTGGCCCATATTCCATTTCATAGCGGTGAAGAAATTCTTTCGATATGCTTCCGATATTACCCACATCGATACATTCAAGGCCGATATATCGATATTCGATATATCGGAATTTCCACATATTGATATTTTGCATATCGATACTTTCGCATACGATACCCATCTCTACGGCTGCCGAGCCGAGCGCAGCGCACCGCACCGCGCCGTGCGCCTCGCCGGCCGGCGGGCCGGTGCATGGAGGGGGAGCTGCGGCGAGCTGCGCGCAGAGGGTCTGCGCAGGGGACGTGGAGGCGGTCGCCCGGGTGGCCCGGCCCGGCGGCGTACTTCCGCTGCTCCAACCAATCAGAGACCGTAGTTATCGGTGCGTGAGGCACAGCAGCCTATATAAAGGGGCGCTGCGAGCCCGCTGCGTATCAGTTCACCATGAACGTCCACGTCATGTACGGCTGCGCACTCGAGACGCCCGCACGCCATACACTTTTCCACACTGTTGCAAAAGATCTGTGGATGGCCAAGGGCTTTGCCGACCAAGTCACCAGAAAGTACGGCGGCCGAGAAGAACTTGAAGAGCAGCACCTAAGCGTCGGTGACATCGGCGTGTTAGAGAAGAACGCCACGCGACACAGGACTATCCTCGCCCTACGAAGGAGTTGAGCCGGGCCCTTCCATCCAGAGAGGACTTCACTCGCACCCTTGAGCAGCTACCTGCAGTCTGTGCTGCTCTGGGTATATATTGGAGCGCTAGCCGGCCCCTTCATCGGCTCGGGGCTAGATGGATTGCCTAGGGAGTTTGTGCTCGCCGAGTTGCGTCGGATTTTTGCGGGTTCGCCTGTCAGCGTCACGATCTGGGTGCCACCACGGCCTGTCGCACCATTCCCAGCGAACTCTATGCTAGGGACCGTAACACTCGTAGGAGATTCAACTTTTCAGCGAGTGTTGGGAGCCCCGAAGCAGACTCGCTGAGCAAGAATCAAGTCACATTGTTGGCTGAGCGATTAGCGAAGCCTATTACTCAAGTGATTATCAAAAAGTTTCGCGTCTGTCTGTCATCACGATAACTCGAGAGCGAACTGAGCCAGCGACCTGGAATTTTTAGGGTCGTTTTGTGTCATAAAAAGACAGGTCAAGTTCGAAGAAGTGCATTCTAGCTCAAATATTGGATTAAAAAAATTAAATCAAAAACCGCAGGTCCCCAAAATAAGGTTTTTAAAAATTACTTTTTTAGTGTTTCCTATAAAAGTAGGACTCTTAAGGCGAAAATTTCGTCTATTTGGCACCAGAGGGAGTTGTCTACACGAATATGACCGCACAACATTTCTACGTTTTTTCTCAGATATTTGATGGGTAACTCGTTAACCCTTTAAGGTGCCAAAATAGGCCAGTAGTGAAAAAAATATTTTTCTTCATATTCTGTCTCTTAAGGTCCAAAACAACACAAAAGACCCGAAAAATCGTTTGCCCGGTTGTTCCCAGTTATTTTTTCGAGTTGTCGTCACATGACGCCATTGCACCTTACGGTCATGGGGGTGGGCTCAAGACTCCTTTTTAACCCGGGGGTCCAAGACAACTTTTTTGCTTGCACACGTCAGTGTGACCTAAATCCATCAATATTTCCTCAATTATAATGTTCTCCTGTAATTTCTAAATTTTTTATTTGTTCTTTTAATACTCCAGTATGATATGAACTACTTTTACATCGCGATTCTGCGAATATTTCATGAACAATTCCTGTTTTCCGGACAAAACCGTGATCGACAACTGTTTACCTATCCAAAACTGCCTGGGGACCCGCTTTCCATAAATAATTGTAGAAGTTGCAGGGTTTTTACGTAGTTGCTGCATTAGTCATGATAACGCCTGTACCGCGTAGGCAACCAAAATAGTGATTAGAACGCTCAAAATTGTTAAAATGATAATGTCCAATGCTAAAATGTGAACTGAAACTGAAAAAAGTAAACATATGCCGCTGGTCAAATCTTTTTGGATCAGTATCACAAAGCAGCCAGAGTAACGGAAACGGTGACGGCAAGGTGCGATGGCGTCACTTGAAGACATCTCTTTTCTTTTGCAAGCACCATAGATTTATGAAGACGGAACCAAATCAAGAATCCGGCCAGGCTATCGTATTCTACGGTTCTTGAACCAAAAGTACACACCTTTGATTGAGTTGAAAACGTTCGAACAGACCTAGGTGACGCATCCGCGAAGGGCACTGTTTACGTCTTTGGCGATGTCTTGCGTCTCGCTATCTTTGATAAGCCGTAGCGCGACTTCAATGGGGCGATACTATCGAACGAGGGTATCAAATCGTTCACAAGACCTTCCCTTCACGTACGCACAAGAGTTAAATGTCAGAGTGTTGTGGTTTTCGAGCTAGAGGTGCGCAAACATCATGTCGCAGGTGACGCCATGGCACCCTAAAGGGTTAAAATAAAACCCCGAGGAACAAAATTTGGGACTTTTGGGGCCGAATGCCTACTTACGACTCTGCCTTTGGCCGGACTCGGGTGTCAGCGCCGCAGGCCTAGGTAGATGTATGTCAGGCGCGTCGCAGCGTGACAGTGTTACGTGAGATATCGCGAAGCCTGTTACGCGAGATGTGGTCTGGCGTACATCTACCTAGTTTACAACCTCACCAATTAAAATTCCTGTGAAGACGCAAACTTTGTACCAGGAATACTCTGTGAATGTTTAGGTTTATTGACATCATCTGGATCTTTGGTCACCCAGCTGCAATCCTGAGCTCTCTCTTGATCCTCACTTGATACTCTTAATACAGAAGGCTTGAAAACTAAAACCAAACAAAACAAGATTTATTTGAGATGCAATCCTACTCGATCCTACTGTTAACAAGCAGGCCCGCCCTTCCGCCAAAGGGAGTTGCCAGCTTCGCTTCGCCGGCAACTCAGTTCGGCAGGGGCCGTGCCTGCTTGGCCTGCCGGCGGCGATGGTCGGGCCTGCGGCCCGACCATTTCCGTCACGCGGTTTGCTGTAGAACATAAGCAAATGATGTAACGGGCCTTCGGCCCGCAAAGCCCGTCGTCCTTAAAAGTTGCCCCGTAGACACGAGAAAGGGATGTAACGGTGAAACACCGCGACTATAACCCACCCTAGGTCATCTCATTTTGGTAGTCGAAGTCGGCGATTTCGGAGGTACGCACATTTAAT